CCAAATATGGGAGTACCCCCCCCCCCCCCGGGGATTTTCCCGAGATATGAAAACCAAATTAGTAAATGTTTCTGGCCTCCGTTATTCCATACAAATCGAATTTCAAGAAGAATTAATAAACTTTCTGAGAACTTGACTTCTTTAAGTATCTTCACTATCAATATAAAACAGTTTCTTTGAAAACAATATATAGATTTAGCCAGGGCTAAAAGCGAAGCTCTCGATTATATTTATAGTTTGCTCAAACAGAATATAAAAGCGGCGAAGGCATGCAACCCTGGAAAACGGTGAAAAACAACAATGGGTCTAATTAGCAAAAGCAACTTTGCACGAGCAGCACACCTTTCTTGTACATTTCTTTGCCGTTGTTTTGCACGACTACAACGTGAAACTTCCAGAAACGTCTTAGGGGCTGTTTACATGGAGGTAGGAGGATCCTACTAACAGGAAGATCCTAGAAAGCGGATCATCCTAGCGCCACGTGTTTTCTGTATTCGGTTTACATGCAAAGGGTTGTACTTGTTCCTAGAGCTGGGATCTTCCTAGTACTAGGATCTTCCTAGCTTACAGGTAGGAAGATCCTAGCACTAGGAACATCCTAGCACCATGTAAACTGCCTTCGCTAGGAAGATCCTAGTACTAGGGAAAAACCAGACAAAAATAGCGGCGGGTCGTTCAGTGGCTAATAACAGCAATAAAGGCCGACCATTTCATTTGGCGTTACCACGAGCTGATTATTGTGATAATTCTGCTGAAAGGTAGTTGTTAACGCCGGTAAAGAGGGCGAAATAGCCCAAATTGAATGTTTGTTTTTGTCGCCCGCCATTTTGAAGTCCTTCTCGATCAAACATTTTATATTTGTATACCACACAGACCAAAATTTCTTGCGTGTAAACCCAACTTAAAGTTGATCGGCCTTCTAGGATCTTCCTGGTACTAGGATCTTCCTCCCTCCATGTAAAGAGCCCCTTAGTTACACGTTTTATTGAGGAAACCTCGTACGTGTTCCCGTTCACTTTTTTTACTGCCGCTTATTTTCACCTTGCATTGGTGGCCACTAGCATTTCTCATTTTGTCACTGCCGCCACAAAATTTTCGAGTTTTTCTTCCAACAAAAAAGTCTCCTTCGGTTTTTTATCTCTCGCTCTAAATCCCTGTCGCCCTTTTTCTCGTTGAGCTTCGCTGGCCTGTCACCCACTTTCTCTCTTTCTCTGTCTTTCTCTTTCTCTATATTCCAAATTTGTGGACATGACAATCTATCTAAGCTTAATACTTTAGACAACACGGATACAGAAACAATTTCCGCTTTCCGTTTTCGTCTTTATTGACTCTTTTGTTGCCTCTGCTTTACAAGACCCCGGTGGCTATGCGATTTCCCGCCAAAATAACCTCGAGTTGCATTTGGGTTGCCACACCTGTTGATTGAGTTATTTTACATTGGTATGCCTGTGGTGCGGATGGACGGTCTCTCGGGCAGGCGGTCGGTCGGTCGGTCGGTGTACAGTCACGTGATTACCAAATTTTCTCGGATGGTTAGATTACTTCATTTTCTTACCCATGTTGCTCCGCTGGCGCGCTTCGTGCGCGAGAGCTCCGCTATCACATATTACCTACCCTTTTCCGAGCAGCACTCATTTTACTGCGCAGTAAACAGCGTAAATATTAGCCATGAAAAGTTTACTCAAGTGAACAGAACGGCATCTACTGCGACTGTTTCACAAGCTTTCAACTCGCCAAAATTTTCATCTTAAAGCTGAAATGTTCAGCTTTCATTTAGAAAACTTCGTTTACCGAGAACTGAAAAGGGTGCCTCAAAAATTGAGGGTCCGGATACTGGTACCGTCCGAATACTGCGCAACATACTGTATAGGTATTGATTCTGCGGCAACAAGTCTATCATGGTCGTTCATCAGTTTGCAAAAGTGCAGTTGTAAAATCGTCAATAATTATTGTTTTACACAATGACCACGCAGTTGAACTCGATCGAAAATCAAAGACAACGCTCCTCTAAGTAATTCTGCCTGGTCCGAACGAGAAAACGTCAATGAGTAAATAGCGGATATCCTTACCGTTGACAAATAACAACTCGTCCTCATCAGCTGTCAAGGTTTTTCCCCCTACATTGTTGACTTGATTCGCCAAAATGTATTTATTTTTTCTTGACCTACCTAACCTGAAGCTTCTATCATGAAGAGACGAAGGTGACAAAACCTCTATAATTCCACCGGAAGTAAGATATTTTGTTTGTAACCAATCGGTGCAGGGCTCCGAAGGATCTTTTGTTTTTCGACCAATCCAGATTCTGGACTACAGGTAGGCGAAGCGTAATAGTAAATGTAAGCGTAATAGTATATTTATCCCCTCGCCTCCAAAACAAAAGGGAAAAAGGACCGCCTGATCGCAGGTTAATTAATACTACGACTGACTTACTACACTACTCAAACTGTTCATGGCTGCGCGTAATTTACAATACATAACAATAAACACTAATCCAATTCAACGCTACCTGAAATAACCAAATTAAAGAAAAATGCTATAGTATTTAAGTAGTTGTGGTGATACTGAACTAAAGTCCTATCAACGGCAAGAGACGGCTAGGAAATATTTTCACTTGGCAGTTAACATCTTTTTGTCATAAAGGACCCCTGAAAAATAGCACCTCAAGTTGTCCTCGTTCCATCCCTTTGGTCAACATCTATCTCTAGCTAGTTCCTAACGTCTCACCGCGGTTACTCATGTTTACCCCTACTCATCCACGTTTGATTCCATTTACCCATATTTACCCCAATTTACCCACATTCCACCCCATTTATCCACGTTTACTTCAAGTTATCGACATTTCACCAGTTAACCTATAATTATTAACCTCCACCTTTTACCCCGTTTACCTACGTTTACCTCCGAGTTATCTAAATTTCACCCCGTTTATAAACATTTTACTCTATTTATCCACACTTACTCATAGTAACCAATGAATGTTTCATCCCGTTTCCCAACTTACCCTAAGTCACATATATACGTGTCGTCCCGTTTATCCTTGGTTACTCCAATTTAACTAACTGTTTACCCATATGCAATCAACATTGGCCCATTTACCCATGCCAGGCGTGTTTACCCTACATTACCCACATTTAACCTCGATTTATCCACGTTTGTTTACGTACCAGAATCAGCGTTGATCGGAGTAAGTTCATTATCTGTGTCTTTCAGCATTTGTGATTATGTATTCCTTAAATGAATGGAATATCGTTTAAAAATTGCTGATTTCATCTAATTGCCCTTTCCGTTTTTATTCATTTAGGCAACAAGCGCACTGCCAGTACGAGCATTGAGCAGAGTAAGGCGGTCAAAAATCTTCCTTTTTTTTCCTTTTCCTTTCATTAATTGTATTTTATGTCATGATTTAAGGCCGCGGGAGACACCTATGTATGAATAAGTTTATGTAAAAGCAAAATTTTGGTTCATCTACATCTTTTAAAACGCTTATTTCTTGACTGTTTTAGAGTCGATTTAAATACAAATTTTACAGAAACATTTTGAAATGTTGAAAGTTTAATAGGGTTTTTTTATTTGGTAGTCTGGTGCTTTGCAGCGATGCTTTGGAAGATCGTGATTTTGTGTCCAAGCTTGGGCAAAAAAGAAGACAGCACTCCACTGTGATTTTATCAACGAATGATGAGACAAAACCTCTAGACAGTGTGTCTTGCATTGAGAAGATTTTGCAATTTAAAGTTCACCAGCAAGATATATCTACATTAAGTTTAAATGAGCAAACTCTGCCATCCCTGAAACTGATTAACACACGTGAACACTGTAAATAATGTGTTCATCTTTTATCCAGTTATGATTTGTTGGCCTCACACTAGAGCTTCAAGTGTAATGTAAATGTACTTGGAACCTACTTGGAGTGTGAAGGGATAAAATGTACCTACTTCAACTTTACTGGGTGACCATGGAAACGTTCGTAGATCAAAGAAGTCGAAGTTCGGCGCCAAGTATGGGCTACACCACACTTGAGAACACACTTGACCAATAAGAAATGGAAGCCATGTGCATGTGCCGCGGTTCTTACATTCTAATGAATGGAGAGATTGACAGCTTTTACTTCAAGTAATATATAATACATTTTGTCAGCAAGTGTGAAGCCCTGTTTTCTACGGAGCGACTTAAGATTTCCAAGTGCACTTGAATCAAGTGCTTACTTAAAACTAACTTCGCTTCTCGTGTGAAGCGAACAATTATCTCGTAAACCTGACGTTATCAAAGGTTTTACTTCGAGCATACGCGATACGCTTTCAATAAATGCATAACAATGAGTCCAAGGTGTCCCCCGGGACCTTAAACTCCTAACTGTACTCGCGTGCGAGAGTTTTGGCAGTATGCCAGCTAGTAATGCCACCCTTCCCGCGGCTTTGCCGCGAGAAAATTCCAATTTCAAAGCGTCTCCTCCCCATTCTTCGCACGGCTTAGCAGCTCCTATATCTGCCAGAACTTTGCTCGCGCTTAAGCGACTTCTCCTTATTCTCCACGCGCCTTCGCAGCCTCTCTGCCGAAACCTTGCTGACGCTAACTTTCTCGCCTGCTACGCAGGCTAAAAACTGACTGATTGACCGAAACCGGTATTTCCTTCAAACTAAAAGATAGCCATTTTGTGCAAAGCAGAGTGATTCTTTTCTCCCTAAGAGCTTTGTTTTCTCCTGAATTGAACAGTCCGACAGGGCAGTAATTAGGGACTACAAAAAACTGACTACTAAACATTTAAAGACGGCGTTCATTTCATTCTCGAAATGAGATGACATATAACTTCTCCTCATGAGTGGCTTCGAAGGCAGGGAGAGAAATCTCAGCTGGTCCGTTGAAATAAACAACGGTCTTTAAAAGTTATATATTTTTGTTCTACGCAGGGCACCAAAGTAGAATCAAAACCAAAACTTATAGACGAGTCAGAGGAGGATGCTAAACTACATGAATCAGTGGCTGAGTTGGCGAGTGAGGAGTACATGGGTGTAGGATACCTTGGAAGATCGAAAAAGGGGGTAGAAGAAAAGTCTGATGATGAAACTGAAACTGAAACTGGAGATAATGCAGAAGGAGAGAAAGTTATTGAAGTAGAACCCGGAGCAGTTCCAACAAGTGATGGTACCAGCTTTTCCTTCAATGAGTGGGCTGTTCACTTATTTTTTCCTCCTGATGCTGTATCTGAGCGTACGTCAATAGTGGTTCATTTATGGAATTACAGTGTTCGCTCACCCCCGCTGCAGGAGCATGAAGCCATCACTAGCAATGTTATTGAACTATCTTCCGTGAATGGCGAAGAACTAAAATTTAACACCAAGGTGAAGCTATCATTATCCCACAGCGCAACAGGCCTATTAGGCTACGAGATAGTGATAAAAAAGCTGATTGACAAGGAGACGAATACTTGGGAAGACGTGGATGGAACCAGGGACATACGTTGTCCTCAAGACTTCGAAGACAATCATCCTCCTCACATGAAAATACCGGACGATTTCTTCCCAGTTGCTCAAGCTGATATATCCGAGTGCTCAACGTACGCAGTAGTTTGCCGTCTCAAGGCTTCTTCAACTAACATCATCACATCTGGTGGCGGCTCATTCAGCCATCCTGACTTCCCGGGAGTGGAAGTTACAATCCCTGAGAATTCTGTTGCACCTGAAGCAACGTTTCCGTTTGAGTTGAAGGTGCAAGAGGTTCCAAATACAGAATTTGAAGAGGAGGACATAATTCTTGGACCTGTATTGCGAATCAAGTGCAAAGAAGCTGTCCAGTTTTCGAAACCTGTCACTATTCAGCTGCCAATTTCTCTTCAAGAGCAACAAGACTTCAATCTAAATCCTACAACATGTCACGTCAGAGTGCTGTTCCTCAAGTCCCATGATAAACAAAAAGAATGGATTGATATCACTGATGATCTTGTGGAACCGCCAACTCTTGATGGAAAGTTTGTAAGGTTTCATGTGAAACGGTTCTCGGCCTATGCGCCTAGCGTTATGAGTAGAAACAAAAACTCCAGGTTTCATAAACAAAGAACTACAAATCGCCTTAATAGCAGCATTTATAAGCAGCCCAGATTAGCAGTCTTTTTCGCTTACTTTCGTCCTGATCTTTTAAGAATTTTGTGTTTGAAGAGTTGCCTTGCTCACCTTAAAGTAAAGGTGTTAAAGGATCTTGAAAAACAATGTATAACGCCCGTTTGCAGCAACTCGAAGAGAGATATGACACCTGGGCTCGATGAGGCATCCGTGTCGGTATCAGGAGGAATATACCCTTACATAAGGAGAGAAATGGGAGAAATTCTTCTCAGAATTTTAGAGCACCATCCAGACGATGCTGAACTGGAGGTTTGTTTCCGCAATGACAAAGAAGTAGCACGAGTGGAATTTTACAGCACCTTAAATGCTAGAGCGCCTCTTTTGTGCAGATTACATTTAAAAATGCCCATTCAGGGTACGGATCGTTTGAACTTGAGGGAACGTACGCGAAATCCTAGTGCAGTGAAGGAAGGCAGTCCAACGGACAATGACCTTGAACATCTGTCAACAAAAATCTCTAACGATTGGAAAACGCTTGGGCGACGACTCTCTTTCAATGAAGCACAGTTGCAAGAATTTGATAGCGGCCATAAAAAAGTATCCGAAAAAGCATACGCCTTGTTGTTAGCCTGGAAACAAAAAGGCGGCTCAAATGCTACCTACAGTGTTCTGAAGCAAGCGCTGTGTGACCAGCGCGTGAACCGTAGAGATTTAGTACAACAATTTTGTTGTTACTGAATTCGGTTTTTACTTTCTCCTTTAGACCAAATTTAAAGCAATCTAATTCCCACTTATTATCGATTAAATTTCTTTTTTTTTCTTGTACAAGCAGAATCAAAAGAGATTAATACGTACGTCAAAATAATTATGTTGTATAGTGAAAGTAATGTTAGTATAGTAAATAGATTTTGGCTTTGCGCTGGCCTCTTAGAGCCCCTACCCCACTATAGTCTTTACTCCATTTTAGTCGCATTTAAGCAAATGTAATAGAGGTCTATTGACGTCATGAAAATTAAATTTGTGAAATTATGGGATTTGTCAAGACATTCTGAAATAACAACGTCCGAGAGGCCTACTTGCCTAAATTTGACCTCAAATTTAGAAGGACTTGTATGGAGTCATCAGAGCATAACTGGCCTTATATCTCAGAGACAATTTTCCCCACTATGCTGGTTTTTGGTAAGCAGGCGCCTCTCGGACGTTGTTCTTTCAGAATATCTTGACAAATCCCGTAATGTCAAAAATTTAATTTTTATGACGTCACACTTTAGTACTCTATTGTCGCGATCCCAACTTAGTCACTTTCTATTTATGTATCTACCTTATCGATACTTTAAAGAAGGAATCCTGATTAGAAATGAATTGACTCATTTGTTAAATTGACTGTAGAGCACTTTTCTTTTCACCTCGAGTACAAACATTCTGGTATGTTTGCTTACCGTAAATGAAAAGAACTTTTTTACCCTCAAAATCCGAAAATGTGCGACCCCATTCTAGCAACTCTATTGAAAATGCAACCCCATTATTGTCAATCCAGTCGCCAAAATGCGACCCCATTCAGCAGCACATTGCCATTAGCCTCTTATAAGAAAATGTCCCCCCCCCCCCCCCTACATCCCCTCCACTAAGGAAGATACATTGCCGAGTTTTTTTAGCTTTAAACAATTACCGGCGCACAATAAACCTCTAAAAATTACCCCCCCCCCCCCGTACATCCTCTCAACTAAGGAAGATACATTGCGGAGTTTATTTAGCATTAAACAATTGCTGGCAGCAAATAAGCTGAGCCTTAACATAGCCAAAACTGAATATATACCTTTTGGCTCCATATCAAGAATCAATGCACTTCCAGAACGACCACAAATTTTCATCGAGAATGATCCTGGTGCTCTCTCCTCCGCAGAGGCCTCTTTGTGCTGTGGGGAGGCTGGGGAGAAAAAAAAGAGAGCGCGCGGGGCACGATGGGAAGGGGGAAGAGAGAAGAGACTGGTAATTAATTTTGGGGGAGGAAAGTGGGTGAGGAATTCCCAGAATTCATTTATTGGAGAAAAGGAGGGGATTGAGCTATAAAATATGCCAAGGCATTAGTTTTTCTTGGTGCCCTTGACCTTCATACAATAGGAACTCTAGCTGCTCTCTTCCTCTCTACCTGACTTCGCAGGTATTAAAAGCTTGATCTGAATGTTCACAATGACTAAATCCTCAATAAGAATGCTTGTAATGATGAGTTCAACTATAAACAAGTGTTATGCGTACAAAAAAAAGCTGCCTTCTGAAAGCCATTAATTTCAGGCTCAAGTCTATCTTCATTTGCATTGAAAAAATAATTGCAGGGTATCCCTCTTTTCCTCCCATAATTGATGACCGTTTCCTACCCTTATTCACGAAAAAGAGCAAGGCCAAATATTATTAATCATTATCAAATGTAGAGTGTTAATGCTTTCACAAGTGATATTTTGATTCAATCTGCTTCATGTATGGTACTGATATTGAGAATTCATTCAATTGTTAAGCCTTTAAGCCCCAATATCCTCATATAAATTCTCCAAACTGATCTATATATATTTCCTTAAAGAATGAGTTGAGAGTATTTGAAAAAAGATCATAGCATTTTCCTTTCGGTGACATTTTGTAAATTCTCATAACCTTTCTCTTTGATTGTCTATTGATTTTTTCAGGAGAAAATTGATGTTGGTCACTATTCATTTGTATTGGGACTTAAAGGGTTAAAACCTTTCTTTACCCATTGTAAAAAGGGTTAACAAACAGAAGTTACACATATGCAGTGTCCATTGTTCTCTGGTTCCTTACTTTCATTACTGGCACTCTGGGAAATCTTAGTTTTCCCTTAGTAATCATAAGCTGGGCAAGGCCATTGGGCTGCTTTAAATTTCTCCAAGAGTAACCAAAATAAGCACAGACCCACCACCACAGAATCAACCCACTGGGCTCTTGCTGGGTGTAACAATAACATTATAA